AACTTGCTATTGATGCCGTGTCATCTTGGGCTACCAAATATGGCTTTAAGTTCTCTACAACTAAAACTTGTGCTATGACTTTTACTCGGAAGCAGGGCGTTTTTCGTCCCCATTTACCGCTTTATGGTCATCCCCTTGTGAGCAAAGATTCTGCTAAGCTTTTGGGGTCAATCTTTGACACTCGTTTGTCTATGTCACCCCATATCTCCTACCTCCGAGTTGAATGCTCTAAGGCCCTTAATTTACTTAAGGCCTTGGCCCATACTTCTTGGGGAGCGAAGAGACGCTTGCTCCTCTCTTTACATTCCTCTCTCGTACTGTCTAAACTCGATTATGGTTGCCTTGCTTACTCATCTGCTTCTCCTAATAACTCTTCGCCATCTGGATACTCTGCACAATACTGTGTTGCGCCTCAGCTCTGGTGCCTTTCGTTCAACTCCTACCCTAAGCCTGTATGTTGAAACCGGCGTCTTGTCTTTACAGGAACGCCGTGATCGCTACTGTCTTTGCTACCTTGCACGGTCCTTACAACTCCCTCATTCTCGCTTATGTTGTACTTTGATCTTTACCCCTCCTGTGGTCCCCGTTCCCCTTCACCAATTACCTCTTTCTGTACGATTGTCTTCCTTACAAGATTCTCTCTCAGTTCGTGTTACCAATATTTCTCCTTGTGTCGTTCCATCCTTGCCCCCGTGGAGGGGTGCCCCTTCCTAAGTTTTGTAAAATTTTGACCCATGTGACTAAAACTTTTACCCCTCCTACAGTTCTGAAACGCCCTTAACTTGAACCCTTTTCTTCACACTCCCGCTCCATTTCCATCTTCAGCAATGGGTCTAAGTCTGCAGACGGTGTAGGTTACTCTATTGTTTTTCCTGACCACACGTATATGTGTCGCCTGCCACCAGAGACTAGCATCTTTACTGTTGAACTTTATGCTATTTTGTATACTCTTTGCCAACTGAGAAGAAGTATAGGTTAGGAATCGTCTCCAAAGAATTTCCATAGAATTACTCATCATTGCTATCTAAAATAATTAGGAGAGCCAAAATTAAATACTACGAAGATAAATTTACCCACACAAAGGGCAACATTAAGAAAACATGGAGCACAATTTCACAAATATTGGGATCAAAGAAGATTTTAAATAATAAACCAATACTCCTGTCAAATAGTGATGGTCTGCTTTCAGCCTCTGACATTGCTTTTGAGTTCAATAGGTTCTTCTCTTCCATTGGATCATCCTTTGCAAATGATATTCCATCTTCCAGTACTAATATTCAGGACTATCTTACAGGTAACTATCCACAGTCTCTGTACCTAATGCCTACTAATTCCACTGATGTTACTTACATAATCCTTTCCCTTAAAACCAAGTCTAGTGCCCTTGAGGAGATACCAACTCTTATTTACAAAATAGTCTCCAGATTTTTAGCTCCTGCCATTGCATTGCTCTTCAACAAGTCACTTGAACTCCAAACTTTTCCAGATATTCTAAAAAAATGCTAGAGTAACCCCTGTCCATAAATGTGGTGATCCCACTGATGTTAACAACTTCAGACCTATATAAATTCTGCCAAACTTGTAAAAAAATATTTGAAAAACTAATCTACAAGCAGCTTTACTCTTATCTAGCCAAACTCAATATACTTAGCTCTTGTCAATATGGCTTCAGACCCCCAAAAAACACTAACGATGCACTTATTAGAATGATTAGCTTGATACATGCAGCACTTGATAAAAATGAGTTCCCTGTTGGGTTATTTGTGGACCTGCATAAGGCTTTTGACACTGTCAACCACCAAAACCTTCTTAAATTACAGCATTATGGAGTCAGAGGTCACTCCCTGCAGTACCTTAAGTCTTACCTTACTTACAGGCTCCAATATGTTTCTGTGAATAATTCAATTTCTCCCACCCTACCCATCAACATTGGTGTTCTTCAGGGCAGTATACTTGGCCCTCTCCTCTTTTTCATCTACATTAATGACCTTCCAAATGCCTCCCAACATCTCAAACTAATTCGATTTGCTGACGACACGACATTCATTTACTCCAGTCCTGACCCCCTTGCTCTAAATGTTACAGTGAATACTGAGTTAAATAAAGTCCATCACTGGCTAACTGCCAACAAACTCACCCTCAATATTGACAAAACTTTCTATATTTTATTTAGCAATAAGTCCTCAAGTCAAATAAATCTCAGGATTAACAATACCCAAATTTGTAACAAGTAGATGGCAAATTCCTTGGCGTTCTCATTGACCACAAGCTGAATTTCCAGGAAACATTCTAAATATATCAAAAAAAGTTTCAAAAACTGTTGGCATTCTTTCTAAGATCAGATATTATGTACCTTGCCTTGCCCTGGTGACACTCTATTACTCTCTCATCTAACCTTATCTCAACTATGGTATGTGTGCTTGGGGTTCTACTACCCAAAATCATTTACGTCCTCTAATTACTCAACACAAAGCTGCTATTAGGACAATATCTAACTCTGGCCCCAGACATCACTCAGTACCCTTACTCAAATATCTGATTATGTAAGATATTAAGTCACTGCACATCCTCTCATGTGTATTTTATATATATAAAACGCTGAACTGTAATGTCAATCCTGACCTTAAAAGCTTCCTAAAAGGTTGTAACAGAGCCCATGAGCACCACACCAGAAACAAATACCTATTTGATATTCCAAGAGTACGACTTAATCAAACTAGAAATGCTTTACAAATCAAGGGACCTCGAATGTGGAATGACCTTCCCAATTATGTTAAAGACTGCACCGCTCCCAACCAGTTTAAGATAAAAAACTAAGTACTACCTAATTAACTCATTTAACCTACCTCACCCCCAAAATGTCAACCCATGTCTACTATTTTAAACAATGCTGTTTGTTGAACAAATTGTATTTTTGCTTTTTTTCTGCCATGTTTCCCCCCCCCCCCCTTTTTAATTTTTTCTTATTTTTTCTCAACAAAATTAATACTTTAATCTCAATTAGTATTAAGTTTTAGTCTTAGTGTTTTTCCTTCCCGAAACGCTTTGCATAATAGTGGCTTTGGGCATTGTATGTACTACCTCTATCTATAAATCCATCAACTTTTTGTATCTCACCTTGTATGTATGTACTTTACCTGAATTAATATTTGTATTTGTATTTAACTGCTTTCTTGCTGTCAATCCTCCTTTATTGTTGTAGCTGCCTCTTGCAGTGCCCTCATGGCTCTGGAGTCCTTCAGTCCAGTCCATCTTGTGGACGTCGAAATTTAACATTGGCTGTTTCTTATCTCTAGCAGGTTTAAGTCAGTGGAGTTTTGCTGGGTTCCCAGCCATATTGGTGTGCTCTTAAATGAACGTGCGGACGCTGCCGCTAAGGAGGCTATCCACACTTGTCCCATCTTCTGTAAAGGTGTTTCATATTCAGACTTCTACCTAGTTATTTATTCCTCAAGCCTTGCCTGTTGGCAAGGTCGTTGGTCTTCTGTTACTGGTAACAAACTGGTTGCT